GTCCAACCTCGAGGGCCCGGGACGCGGTGGAGGTTTCCACTCGAGCCCTACCCTCTTGGTGGCCCGGGAAAGCATAGCCGAAATCTCCAGATCCGATTCAGACCTTGCCACCGTCCCGGAGGGCGACAGCGCAGCCGAATCTTCCTCTCCAGAGAGCTCTCCCTCCGATGCAGTGATCGACAGTCACTAACGTGACTCGGAGTGACCGACTGAAAGGGAACCTCTTTCCTTTCACGTGCCGTGCGTGGGGCTTTGTTATTCAAAAAAACATAAATAAATAAATCAAATAAATAAATAAATAAATTCTCCAAAAGGTGACAAATCGTTTCAGTTTTTTATTTCAAACCTGGCGTGAAGGAGTTTTTGCATATGTATGATTTATGTTGACAGGTATCTACATCCAGAAGGCCTTCCCTCTGACTACACTATCTATATGCTGTTCCGCATACTGCCTGAAACTCCTCAGGAACCTTTTGCATTGTGGGAAATCCTTGACAAAAACAATGAGCCACTGGTGGGCATTATCCTGGATAGTGAGTATTACTCTTTTTGATTTCCTTTATGCCCCTATGCAGCCCCAACCTAAAATCTTTCATCCTTAATTAAAAAAAAACTTAATTTAATCATTATTTAATAATGATTTAAATTGTTTAAATATTTCCTACTGTAATGTACAACATATTTTTTCCCCTTTTGATCAATTATATGTTTATCAAAAAGTGCTTCTCAACCAGAGTATGTGAGCGGAGTGGAGTGGGAGCAGAGCGAGGAGTGGATTTTTTTTTGAAAGTCAGTGTTGGTGGTTTTCACTCGCTCCGAGAGCACTTCACTACCACTCCATCACGAGCACAATTAATGCCAACAGCCCATAATATAACTGCATTTTATCAAGCTTGACAGATATGTGGATCCCTCAAATCAGAAAGAAGGTGAATGTTGTATAATGACGGCAATGGACGAGTGCGGGAGGTTATATCTCAAGCATGTTTGTTTGTAGCATGTGGATACTCAATACTGATTGGGTGAATTCACATTTTAAACAGTTTATTGTGCAGGTAGTTAATCTCCGCTCTAAACTAATGTGCTGCTACATTGCTGCATGCGCGCACACAACACACAAGCTTGCATAAAATGTACAGATCACACGCACATAGAAACATTCAGGACTGCAGAAAATGATTGTCAACGCTGTCCTGTGATTTATCAGCTTAAAAACAGAAAAGTTGCAGCATATTCTTTCTGTTTCTGAAGTAACTACAACCCTCAGCTTCGCAATAGTAGAGAGATGATGCACAGACAAGTGAGTTAAACAGTCATTTAATACGTTAAAACTATTCTTCTAGTATTGTCTAGTATTTTTCGTTTAATATAAGTTCTGAACAGAACTTTGTGATATTTCAAAACATACTGAAATACTTTAGCTGCAAATTTCGTCATGGAGTGAAGGCGGAGCGGTGTTTCTGATCAGTGGAGCGAGGAGCGGGAAATGCTGAACCCGGAGCTGAATGATTATTGAATTATTGGAGTGCAGAGGGGAAATTGTTGCCGCTCCGCTCTGCTCACATGCTCTGTTCTCAACTGGTGGGTCATGACCCAAAAATGGGTTGCAAACAGTGACACTGCTAAATGCAAATAATAAAATGCAACTAACCATACACTCATGAAGTTACACTAGCAAAAAAACACTGAAATGTAGCTAAAACCAAAATGGTCAGTTTTCCTGATTCAGCCTGTGACATGTTAATTTTGCATATTGCTGGACATAAGGAGTACATATTTGATTAAGTCTACACTTGATGTCCAATGTAAAATCTTAGTCCTGAAACAAAACCAGTTGAGAACCCGCTGACTTAAAAGATCTACAGTAAAACCCTTGAGTCTAATTTTTTTTGTCTGTCTTCAGACGGAGGGAAAACATTAACCTTCTTCAATTCCGACTACAAGGGAGAATTTCAAACGGTGACTTTCGAAGGAAGTGAAATTAAGAAGATTTTCTATGGCAGTTTCCATAAGGTCAGTCTTTCTTCCATTTATGATCCAGCTTTGACTATGATTACAGAAACTATACAGTCATTTGTGTTTCGGTCTCTTGGTTGAGGTTTTATTTTTCTTGTCAGGAAATTCATGATTTAAGCTGGACTTTGGAAATGCTTGAATTATAGTAACCAAAGTTTGTTAATTCATGCTATGACCATTCATGCACCAAATGACCAACTACAGCTGAATACACTAATTTTCCTTTATAAAGTTACCTCATTTTCTTTATAGTTGCGCCTTGACTGTCAGAACCGAATATCGCTGAAGTATATTTTAGCTGTCTGTCTTGCCTCATTCTCATCTGCTTACGTACGGGTTTGGATGCAAGATAATTTTTTATGTCATATGAAATTGAAGTTCATCAGATTTACAGTAGATTCACAATGTTTAAACAGCAAATCGGTTAGTCACTGTAACAACAAAACTGTGACCTTCAGATTTCATTTCTACATTTTGTTCAATAGAGGATCTGCCAATTGTTATTTGATCTCACACATCTTTTTACGGAAAAAGATAATATGCATTAAAATACAGTATTATATTAACTTAATTTCAGTTAAATTTATTAAAATGAAATAAAAACTAAAAGACAAAAACATACAATGTATTTGCATATTAATATATACCAGTTTTAAATGCAGTTTTAAATTTTATACAACAAAAAGTTGTACAAACAAGAAGTGATGCTGTCATTCGTGTTTCTAAAATGCACACCGGGGAATTTCAATTATTATTTCATCCAGGGCATGCACCACAGAGTTCTGATGGTATGAAAATGGTTTATGATAGCCCTGTCCCGTTCATTTTATGTATTCTTTCTTCACATCCGTGCTGGTGAAGAGCTCTCTATCACTCTTCCGCCCTCCAGTAGTTTTGAGAGGCTGTCTGATGTATTCCAAGGCTCTGTGTGTTGCTTGTCTGGTTATAATTCGCTTTTCCTGCCAAGTGTGTTCTTCCTTTGAGTGCATGACAAGCCGTCCGTAGCCTTTGATGCAGTGGCGTGTGTGTTTATGAGCAAGTATTCTCCTGCCATCACTTATGATGTGTTTGTAGGGTAATCCCTCTTGGCAGAACTCGTCAAGATTAGAGTCTGTGAGTAATACAGATTACTTCTTCACTGTCTCCACTCCGGATTCTGAATTAATAAATAAATCACTGCCTGTATCATCTAAGTGGTGGGGAATAAGCAGGATTTAGACACTTTTATTGAAGAATTTCACCCTTTTTTATTTCATATTTTTTATTGCTTGATAATACAAAAACATTCTAGAAAAGTACTTTCAGGTTCAATGTAAGAAGTTAAAATGTGGATATGGTGGATTTTGCCTCTACGTTGAAGAAGTTATTCATAATTGTTCATATTTGGTTAATTTGTAATTTAACTAAATTACTGAATTAAAAATTTTACATGTATTTGATCAATTACAGTAATTCATTTTGTTAATTACATTAATTATTAATTTTATTTACATTTTTAATGTTCAAAAATGTTACTTGTAATTTTATATTTTAATGTAAATGTACATTTAAAAATATTGTTATTTTAAAGATGCCGTTGCATTGCTAAATGTTCATTTAAAAGATGTTCAGTACAAAAAGGGCTTAATGTTGTAATTTAATTATTTATTTTTGATTAATTAGTGTGTTTTTAGATGATACAGACACTTAGAATCTTAATGAAAACACACTTTTTCATTTGTGAAATAAAACAAGATAATAAAAAAAATATTGAACAAATATCAAATTATCATTTTTAATAATGTCCAAATAAACATTAACCACCACTTTTATGGGAGAAAACTGAATTAAATTAAAAATGTCAAAATCTGTAAATCAGAAAATCTGCATTGTTTGAGAATGACCCACATATGTACGGTAATATGAAAATTAAACACAAGGAGTGCTTAACAGAGCGGCAAACACAAACTAAGACGTGCTACATTAATTTATACAAGAAATACAAGACATTAATTTATCTCTATTTGCATTTAACCATTTCGCACGTGAGTTTAAAATATTCTAGCTGAGCCCCCAGCGTGAGTTTTTTTTTAGGCGACCGTTATTTTAAAATGTATCGCCTTATTGTTTCCATGGCGACGCGTCATGCTTGTCATGTGACACAACGCAGCCATAATAGATCTGTATGACACATGGATCGATTTTATTTCGTTTTTCCTGTTTTATTCAAAATATTCACAAACATGCTCACTATATTATGAAATATCTGATATTCCGATTCTGAAATATGTGCAATTAAATCTATTTGGTAGTTTAAACACTTTTATATCGACCGTGTTAGTTAACACGCAAATTCATCCTCTCCTCCCGAAACACGTTAAAGTAGGTCTCCGGTAAACTGGGAGAAGAGCAGAGTAAACTTTATAGTTACCTACACAATCTGTATATGATATCAATAAACACATGTCGTCAGCTTATATTTGTAAGGATCGTTATTGCCGTTTCCATAGACATCAGCGTGCATTTTACAAACTGTAAATGTATGGTTTTGCTAGTACTTATGTGTATTTAAACGTCTGAAACCTAAAATAAGTATTATATGGTTAAAAAAAAAAAAAAAATTGTGATTATATGACAAGCGCTTAGCGTCCGATCTGGCTCTGCGCCAGGCAAAGCGGGAAAGCGGATTTAAATTCAGCAGTTGATGACGTGACGCACTGAAAGTTAAACGCGTTAAAGGGTTAAAGCAGCTAACTTAAAGGGTTAAGTGAGCGTTCAGTGCACAACTGATATAATCTGCTCTATAGAGTGACGCTACAGCATTGAGTTGGCACTTTTTCTTTTTGGAGTCGCTAATGAGCTTCGTATTCGGGGCTCGTGGCTAAAGCTGAGAGTTTATCTGGCCACAACTGAATCTGATTCTGACCCTTTTTGTACGGCAGTCGCTGTCCTCAATACCACTGACCCCAAGTAACACAGTTGGCTTGAGTTGTTATGACAGCTTTTAAACAAAACCCCCGACTTGGAAGAGATCCTGAAAATGTGAGCAGAGGGTCTAGGACTCTCGTCAGCCCTCTATTAAAAACACCCCATTCCTCTCAACCATGACTTATTCCACACTTTCTAAAACCAGTGCTCAACGGTTGTAATTTTGCAGGGTCGTGAGAGGAAGTCATGTGGATATTGTTACGCTTCAGATATCTCAGTGGCTCATCTTATGGATGTTATTTGGTACTGTTCTGTACTTTCATGCTGCTCCTGTGCATTTAGAATCAAGGTGGGAACTGTGCAGAACACATTTGGAGGAAGTGCTGACACAAGCAGTTTTAAACCGAGTGAGACGTTGCTACTCTGACAACACTTGATCATAAACAGCATAAGTCATGAAGAAATATAAAGATACATGCGATAAATAATGTGTAATCTCATTCATAATGTTCTTTTATCACATACTAGCTTTGTAGATTTTTCTACATCTACAACAAGAACAGAGTCATGTATCCACCCATCCATCCCTCCCTCCCCATTTGGTTCATTTTAAAATGTCATTGGTATTAGATTATTTAATATTTGTGTGAATGATTATTAGTGGGAAAAAATATTACAATTTATTTTACTATAATATGATAAATTGTTTTGATATGATATTGACACATCTTAGAAATTTTTTTTTTCAAGAATTGTCTTTTATTATCTTATTTTACGAACTATTATTATCATACTATTACTATTATCTTACTATACTATTATTATCCTTAAATCCAATTCAAGTCTGTAAAGTCAAATTATACTTTATGGTAAGTAATAATGTCAAGATAAGGAATTGCCATCAGCTTTCATTGAGAAAAACAAACAAACTTCAAAACTAAAAAAAAAAAACTATCAACGAGCTTTATCAAAATAATAATAATAATAATAATAATAATTTTGTTAACCAGCAAAAACCAAAGCAGCAAAATAAAATCAATCAATCAATCAATCAAATCAAATCATAATAATAATCGTATGGCTATAAAGGCTGGTTTCCTCTGACCCAATAAATACTAACAAACGGTGACATTTTTAAAAAAGTTTTAAAGTTGGTTGTTTGGATTTAGACAGGTGCAGGAAGATTTAGTGATCTAGAACATTACGGTTATTTTCACACTGTCCCAATCACCAACACAGTTCCTGCAAAACCCAACAAGCGCTGTTTGTTGCCATATGTTTGGGCAGTGTGAAGCAGTAAAGAACATGCGCCTGTAAATATCCCATCGCTGTGAATAAACATCTTTGTCTTGGCATTGCCATCTCATTAAAGATGAGTACTCACGTCTCATACTCATACTCGCGTCAAAATATAAGGTCCCCCAGAGGCTTTGGTATAATCCTTTCCTTATTTTGGTATGAATTAGCTGGACCAGTGTGAAAATGTTGTTTTGTTTCATTTTTTTATATTATTATTTATTATTAATAATGGTGGCAGAGCGAAATCTATTTAACAGTTTGTCAAAATCACATTTATTTGGACAAACTGTTCAATAGATTTCACTCTGTCACTATTCACACACTAGGACTGTACTTGCAGGACTTGAAACAGCTGCCCTGGGGCATTATGAGTATGGCCGTCAAATGAACTGACTTGCCTTAAAGGGGCTTTGTCTCTAATGCTTTCCTGGGTCTGTCCCTTAGGCCATAAAAAGAGAGACTCCACTGATCTGCCAATGATACAAAGTTGAGGAAAGACAAAAAAAAAAGACCAACAAACATTGGGAATAATGTTTTCTAAAGCAGTTTCCTTTTTGCCTCGTGTTGCCTAAATGTATTGTCAAATGATTATAGTATTATTGAATTATTAAATATTATTAAAAAGTATTATTAAATAACACACACACACACACAATGTATAAACCATATTATGTTTTTTGCTATTTTTTATTTATATTTTTTTTAAAAGGAAAACAAGACAAAATACAGATCACTGCATTTTTAAAAGGTGGACAGTCTGCTGTGTGAGATGAGCCAGTTCATCATGTTGGAAACAGAAAGTGATCAGGAGGCAGATGTGACCATCAGCGGCTGAGCTAAAACAGCAGCGATGCTGACCTCTCATTCTCATTTGCCACTCCTCCTTAGCAGACCATCATTACCACCACCAGACCAGTTCAGACACACTCATAAATACTCTCAGGACAAACACTTGCAGCACATGGACCCGTCCCTGCCTAAACGGCATGTCACTGCTGCAGCTGCACAATCTAATTGCCTTTCACTGCAGAAACACCTGCCGCTCAGAAAATGGAAGCTGATATTCAGTATGAAAATGCATATTTGCCAAAACACAAGCATGCCACCTCACAGACTTAACCAAATTTCATCTGTCTCAGCCTGTTTTTCTACCCTGATAGAGAAGTTTAATTTCTGAACATTAAACAGCCTCCCTTCATAATGCTTTATAATTGACGTTAATGTGAGATTTTACAATAATGAGCTTGGTCTGAGTCTGCTATCAGCCCGCTTGCCTGACAGCGCACTTGCACTTACAATTCATCCAGTGAACTGAAGAAAATTGCGTTTTAGACCCCAAACCCATTAACAGGCGACGTGTGCTGTCTCATACTGAAATAAACTCTGACATACAAATATGAACTCCATATGAGCTTGTTATGTTTTAGTTTTGGTGGTTGTTATGGACAATTACAGTTGACTGACTGCAGTGATTGACAATAAATGAGTAGAGAAAGAACACGGCAAGCTTGATTTGGTTTTCATTGGTGTGCATTAGTGAACTTTAATTTCTGTAAGACTCGAAGTCTCCGATTGAAATTGAGAACTTAGAAAAACATGGTAACACTTACAATAAGGTTCCATTTGTTAACATTAGTTAGCTACATTAGTTAACATAAACTAACAAAGAAAAATACTAAAGCATTTATTAATCTTAATGTTGATTCTTAAAGTTGAACAGTTGTATTTTTGTTAACTAATGTTAACAAAGATGAATAAATACTGTAACAAATGTATTGCTCCTTGTTAGTTAATGTTAAATGTTGCATTAAATATAGTTTACCTTATTGTAAAGTGTTACCAAAGCATCTTTTGAAATTAATCTATTGTACTATCATACTTTTAGACAAAACAGACATTTATTTTTTTTAAATTGTGTTACTGTCATATTTGATACATCAAGGTTTTATAATAATGTTTTGAGCATCACTTTTTTTTATAATTTGCATTACATTTAAAATCTTTGAATAATTTCTCTTCATTTAATTAAAATATATGATAAAATTCAATAACAATGATGATTGAAATCAATATACCTCAAATACCTAAAAAGCAACTGTATAAAACTAAAATGAAGTGTCTCAAATCTATAAAATGTATGAAGTCATTGCATAAAGATTTTCCAGGAAGACATTTTGGAAATGTTATTAGAAGTCCAGTGTTATGTAAAGCCCATTTTAGGTGTTATTCTGTTCCCTTCATAGTCCCTTCACATATAGCAAATATGCCTTGTATAAGTTATTACAAAATTTCTTTAAATATCTTTTACTTAAAACAATAATACTAAATGAAATGAAAAGGTGTGGGCGGGTTCTAATCACTTTTTTGCCAAATTGTAATTTGGTTCTTACCAATTTTTGAACATCATTGCAAAAATAGCTTGTGGAACTTATGTACAACACAGAAAAGTTGTCCAATCCTTAATTCCTTATAATTTAATTCATAAAATGTACAAATTACTTTTGCATCTTACTCGTTTGGTGGTCGATTGGTTGGCCGGTTTATTATCAGATCTGATGACACAATACTATCTCACCTAGCTTCATGTGGCCATCAGCAAAACCGCTGCTAAAGTGGTGATCGACTGCAAAACGGTGGGAGAGAAATCCATCAATGCTGCAGGGAACATCACCATTGATGGAGTGGAGGTTCTGGGACGCATGGTCCGCTCGCGTGGAAGGAGAGATAACTCAGCGCCGGTAAGACCACAGTCATTCAGCCTCAATCCTAAAAGACGAGAATTTCCCAGGCCTGAAAGAATCATTTGAGCCCATAACAGGACCAGCTTTTGTCTCATACAGACACAAAGAACTCTGTATACAAGTGCAGCAATGTCTTTGTTTGGAATCTGATAATTATTAAAGATGGTCTGAAACTCTGAGGCCTTTAAAAGCACAATTATCGTCTCAGATTCAACCTTATAATGATTTTGTGGAATCCAAAGCATAGGCATTCGGTTCAAGATGGTAAATACAGACTTTATGCCTTTTGGTTTTTCCGTCAGAATGTGTGGATCATTATGTCTAATTGTGTAGGAGTGCGTCTGATTTGATTCTTCTCAGAGGCTGCCGGCACAACTGATGAGACTAATTGTCTTTGTAATTATGCTGGTGGGGGTTGTAATGCGAGTTTGTATGGTGCAATAGTTTAAAAACTATTAGAATCAGTCATTCAGCCCAAACAAATAATCGGACGCAGTTCAAGCATGACTGTTAATAAATGCATAAAGTTTCTGCTTATTTAGATTTTGTTCATCCTCAACAATAATCCCCTGTAATTTGTTTAGACTTCATAAAATGATTGTGTTGATAAGATTTGTAATGCATTTGTTGTTAAATGAGTGATTACTATTCAACAGCCTTGTATTTTTGCTCTGTCTGTGTTGGTTTTTATGATCTTGTCCACAGTTTCAGCTCCAGATGTTTGACATAGTTTGCAGTACATCATGGGCCAGTCGGGATAAGTGCTGTGAGCTTCCAGGCTTGGTAAGACCCGACCAGTCTGTATTTTATACAATATATTAGTTTTATACAATTAGCATTTTTTTGTATAAGCCACACTCTAATCAGCTTACATTAATACTGCAGTTCTGTCACTGGTGAAATATCAGACATTTAACCCCAAATAACTTAACTACATTGTAAAACTCTAATATACATTGAAGACCAATCAGCACCCAATACAAGCACCCACATTTAGTGTTCATAATTACTTTAGAATTGATTATTGATGTACTAATTAGTGTAACAAGCATTTAACTACTGCAACCTTATCTGGGGACCATCATCGCCCTGGGCGTCTTTCCACCATGTTTTGTCATGGCTAAAATGAAATAGCTTTATGAAATAGCTTGCAGCAGGAATGTATCTAATAAAGGTTCAACAAACAAATGTGTTCCTGCTTCTGAAATACATCCACTGGCATGCTACAAATTTGGTTTATTAAAATAAAGAGTTATGTGAGGGTGGATTTGAACCTCTAGGCCAGCAGCGCTGATCCACTGATTTATCCTCTGCATTAAAATCTCTAGACTAATTGTGCACTGTAAAAAAATATTAATCCAGTTAAATTAAGAAAAAAACTTAAACAAAAAAACTAGCAGCTGTGGTTGCCAGAAATTCACTGTAAATAATAATGTGAAATTGTTTTCATCATTAGAGGATGCCTTTATATTTTACAACTTATAAGCTTAACCATATATTTGATTAAGACATAATGTTAAAATACCACTCTACTTGAACTACCAAAAATATTGGTGTGGCATATGTAAATATGAAGTTATCAATTTAAATGTTACAACTTCTGGCTGTCCCTGCAAATTACTGTGTAATGGAAAAAACACTGTCAAAATGTCAAAATAGCAGCTCATTGTGCAACGGGTGTTTATTATTTTCAGCAATGTTATTCTTAGCATTTCAGTGACTTGGAAATGAGTAAAGACTCCATAAAACAGTTAAATAACATTCATTGTAGTGGTCCACCGATATATCGCCAAGGCCAATATATCGGCCGATATCTGCCATTTTTCAAATATCGGCAGCGACGATAATTTTCTCTGTTTGGCCGATGTGTTCGAGGTGGGATTTACAGTGTTTTCTTCCTTTTTAATTATATTTTTATTAAATATGTATTTATTTGTAAAAAATACTTTGTCTTCTAGAGTATAAGTATGTTTATTTTACACGTTTATTCTTTTAAATTCATTTTCAAATGATTTCAAATTTCTTAAATATGAATTAAAATAAATAAAATTATATCGGCCACCCTGCTTTCCAAGATATCGGCATCAGTATCGGCTGTCAAAAAACCCATATCGGTCGACCACTAATTAATTGTATATGCAAAAAATAAAAAAGTCAATAATGTAAATAAAATTGAAACGCTAAGTCTAAAAACAAATCACTCATGTAAAACATAAAGCTAATAAAATGACCATAAGCAGCCTTGTAATTGGCTATCACTATTTATTAAGGTTCTCTGCTGTGATGGATGGTTTTATGGTTTTATGTACTGCCGGTAGGCTTGTTGGATTGGTCATTCAGTACATCGGATGCCTTAGCAATATTACTCTTTGTTCTCTTGTATCATTTTGGCTATTTACTGTATATAATGCTGAAAAAATGTTCTCTAAGTGATCTCCAACTGGCCGTTCTGGCAATCGTCCCTAACTTTAAAGATCCATGACCACTCTACAAATAATTCAATTATGTAGTCTTGTAGCAGACAAATAGACTTGGTCCTCCATGGATAGGAAGAACAATATCTCCAGATCGCTTGCTGTGTTTGTGCACTTGCGAATTAATAACTTGAGGGAATTGCACAGACACCCTTGGTTGACTTGGAAAAAAAATAAAGTTCTGTTAGATTCCTAGAGAGGAAATAGTCTGCTGTTTGTGTACGACAGTTTACGACATGTTGTTTTGTTTGTGCTTTCTTCAGAGAGTAGAAGAGGACTGTCCTGCCATGCCCCATGCCTGCACCTGTGCTCAGGATAGCAAAGGACCACCTGGACCCTCAGGACCCCCGGTAAAACCACTGGTTTCACCTCTCACTAACACCCAACCTTAGAACGGTGGTACCTAACTACATCACAGAAGGCGAACCAGGGAGATTCGTAACATAGGGTTGTAACATAATCAGTTTAACTAACTAGCTGACAGTTACAGGTGAGGTGACAGCTCTTGTTATTTTATGTGCAAAAATATGATTTACAGGACGAAATAACAGTTTTGAGGTAAGAAAGGGGGGTTACACTGACAAAGTCACTTTCATACCCCAGCATAAAAACCACTGTAGCTAACACACTTTAGCTGACAAACTCGCTATCATGCTTTAACATTAAAGCCAGCTGACATACTTTAGCTGAGAAACCTGCTCTCATACTTTAGTAGTTGCGTTAGCTGACATATTTTAGTTGACATACTTGCTATCATACCTTAGCATTAGTTCATTTACATGCTTTTACTGATAAACTCACTTTCATACTCTACGTAGAATAAAAGATAGCCGACACATAAAAGATGTTGACACATCTACCATCTTGGAACAGTCAACATGTCATCACTCACAGTAAAAATCAATGAGTTTTCCAAGATGCCACAACATTGCGCAGGCTCTGGTTGTAAAAACCACCAAGATTATACCATACTCTAGCATGAAAGCTAGCTGACATACTTTAGCTGGCAAATTCACTCTTGTACTCTAACATAAAAGCTAGCTAAGGACTCTGTGTAATACATAGACGTTTGAGAAAGCATCTGTATATTTAGTGCAGTGCATCAAAGACTGTTGGGATTTGTGACTTTCATATGACCACATGATCATGATTAGTCTCCAGTAGTATCCCAGGTTTGGGTGTCTTTCTCAAAAGGCAGAACAGTAATGGATCTTTGTGGAACCAGCAACTTTTCAGTTTTTAGTCTCAAGCCTTAACCATACCACCTCTCTTTAGAGAAAAAACACAGAACGTGTTAAGACGGAGCATGAAGATATTAAAATGAAACAGGGAGACTGCTTAAGAGATTGAGAAAAAGACCTAGCATTAGATTGCTCAATTCAGCCCATGCTGCAGGTTGAACTCAATATGGCGGGCACAAATAAATGAGCTCATTTGGAAAGCAGCATTGTATGCACCCTGAGGGAAAATGTATTTCTGAGGCCTCGAAAAGGCCATGGTGTATAAACAGCAGCTCTTTCGAGAAAGTCATTACGAGGAGATCGATTTATCAAAACCGATTAGTCCACTCCTGTCCTGTCTGCGTTTATAGATTCCTTCATCCATACAAACCCATTTCCATGACCAAGAAGTGGTTGCAAGGAAAACGATTGCATTTCAGTTTTGTATATATTATTGCTGCATCTTCATATTAATATTACTGACATGTGTTCTTAAGTCTTTCCTATGATTACACCGGCTGCTCAAATGAATCGAAAATGTCCTGTTAAGTCATCACATGCATCTTTCAAATGAATATTTATGCTTGCGTATTCTCTGCTTCCACCATCACCAGCAGGTTTTGTTAAATGTGTTTTGAACAAGCTCATGAATCAAATTTGCCCGTAGCCTTCAGTGATAAGAACTACCTTATTGCAGCCATGGCCATTGAGGATGCAATTAAAGGAAACACAGGAAAAGGAAGACGTGCAAACAGGGTTAAATTATTAGCAGTTGCCTGCAGCAGTGGGGGCAAGAGTTTATGAGGGTCAGAAGCAGGCGGGATATGGTTTGAACCAGGTCAAGGATACTCTCTACCGAACTGCAGGCAGATTCCATCTGATATTTTTGAACTAGCCAATTTTGCAGTGTTTGAAACACTTTGATAAGGAAAATGGTTTGGTTTTACTAATGGACAGTAGCCGTGTTCCAGAATCTAGTGAGCTGCCCACATAGGAAATATTTTCTCAAATCATAGGCGTTCTAACATGAAGGCTGTTCCAAAAGACAAATGAAATGCATGAATTAAAATTCTTTCATCACTCAGCCAAATATCATTCACTTACCCTCATGTCATTTACTTTCTTTAGATTTTTTTGTCCTTATGATAAAAGTCAAAGGGCTGTTTTAGCCACATTTGACTTTCTTCAAAGCGACAAACTAAGTGAAATTATCTATCCACAATGTGTATTTCATTTAAAAACGGAAAAGTATGAATAAAAATATTTCAGTGCCATTAAAAAAATATTCACCCAATATTTCTGTATATGTACTTTTGTAAGAGCAGTGGTTCTCAACCTTTTTGAAGGCCCCCATTTCAACAACAATTTTTGAAGGCCCCATGACCTTTCCAGTTGTTCGTGATTTTCTGAATACAAATTCATTTTAAGTATTTAAAAATATTTTATTGCCAATTTCTGCCTGACGAAATATTTTGGTGTGACTAGAAAAATTTATATTCATTCTAAATGAATTGATTTTTCAGGTCTAAAAATCACACTTTTAAAATTAGGCTACCTCTATACAGGTTTTTCAAGACCTAGTTAATCCTGGTTTTTCAAAGAAAAAAAACCCTGTTGGTTTTCATTTGTTTTGGATCATTTTAGCGCTTGTTTTATCCTGTTCTTCTTATTTTTTAAGTCATCCTGAGGCTTCCTTGGAAGTTTGCTGAAGTGCCCTAGTGGGCCCCGTCCCACTGGTTGAAAACCATTGTATTAGAGCAGGGGTACACAATCCTGTTCCTGGAGATCTACCTACCTGCTGAGCTCAGACCCAACCCTGATCCAACACACCTGTCTGTAATTATCAAGTGCTCCTGAAGATTTTAATTAGCTGTTCACTTGTGTTTGATCAGGGTTGGAGCTGAATTTTGCAGGACGGTAGATCTCCAGGAACAGGATTGTGCACCCCTGTATTAGAGTATATTTTGCTGTTACCTTAGCAACATACTAACGTCAAACTCTGTTGAAATAAATTACTAGTTGAGTCTCATTTGTGGTGCAGCTATGTAGAGTGTTCCGAATCTGAATTCTGAATCAGCTCAGTATGCTTTGAAACAGAGTTAGCGAAAGTGTTTAAAATTGCTTTCTTGACACAAGCCCCAGCTCTGGTCACTAGGAAAACTTGTTTGCTTATCCTGAGTCTTTCAATTTGTATTTGTCTAATTGTGTGTGTCTGACTCTCAGGGCGGTCCTGGTATCAGAGGTTCAAGAGGAGATCGGGGGGAGCCAGGCTTGACGGTAAAGTACACATATGCTTTATGTATCCCATATGCAGGGCCACTCAGAGTTGTCATTATATCCCGAAAGAATAGACACCGGACAAGAGCTCAAAATGTGGGAATCTATAAATACACACAATGCACGTGCCTCCATGTTGTTTTTAGAGGGTACGAGTGAGTAAATCTCACCCTCTCGCTCTGGTTTTTCTGAGAGCTCGCTTTGTTTATTTGTGTCTCTCTGTCCAACTGTAGTTTCCTGTAGAGTAAAGTCCTTCTAGATGTGTGTGTGTCCATGTACAGAATATATCATGCTCCAGTCCAAATAAAGCCATGCTGGGGCAGACATAATTTCATTTCACGCTCCAAAGTTTTATGTAAACTTGGTCCAAATGACCGCCACTAAGAGGTTTGTCACAAGCTAGACTGTGACGAGTGTCTTTTGCTTCCTTGATTATTGCATTCCTGATGGAGAAGGAGACTGCCGGGCATTCACACTTTGTTTCAGCAGCCCAGCTGGTGGTAGGCCTAAAATGTTACGTAATTATATTGAGGAAATTAAACCCGGCAATGAAACCATGATGATTTTATAATGGGGTTACATTTATTAAGATAATGTCCTAACTTTATGTTCAAGGGGCCTCAAGGGCCACCTGGTGAGATTGGATCTCCAGGACCACAGGGACCACCGGGTCCTCAGGGGCCGAATGGACTGTCCATTCAGGGGTCACCGGTAAGCGAAATACTGACTACTGGGATTATGCATAGTTTGTTTCATTCTTTTTTATAAATTTTGCCTTTTTCTTTTTCCAATTCCTCTCTCCTCAGGGGGCTCCAGGAGAGAAAGGAGAGAAGGGTGAAATTGGTCTGCCAGGTCCTCAGGTACGGGGAAATATATCACCTGCTTGTCTCATCAGCACTCATGACAGCTTCATAACACCCACACAGTCTCTCATTAGCTAACCTCATCCCCTCCGTGAGAGTTAGAATTATCACTGTCCCGTGAGTGTTTGTGTGTGTGTAGCTTGTGAATGTCGTTCATGTGTGTATGTGTGTGTCTGTATGTGCAGCTTATCCTGAATGTAAGAAAATAGATTAATACAAATAGATTAATACATACACAGATAACTTTCTTCATTTGGCAACCTAATAGAATCAACTAGTGCCTTAAGGAATTACTCAACCTTATTGACCTTATATATAACTTGTATATATCTGACAGTATGGCTGTAACTATTGTGTAGCACTAACCAAGTTTACATTTTTTGCTAAATTCAAGTTTTTTTAACAAGAATCTCTGCCAACATACCTCTGCCTACATTATGGTTACAGGGCCTGCGCCAAGGGGGCATACCCCCCCAAACGAGTTACTGTCCCCCCCACCCTTCTCGAATTTGAAAGCGAAAGTAAAAAAAGAAATGCGAGCACATTTGAAAGCAATTTCACATGCTTTCATGAGCGTTAGGGATTGCACGCTTTCAAATGGCCAAACATGGATGGGGGTGGGAAGATTATTCCACCAGCAAGGAACAGTGAACGAAAATGTTCTGCAAAATGATTTTGTTCTGCAATGTTACCACGAGGCGTCACTCACAAGTGGAAGTAAGAGTGTGCGGAGCCCATGGCTATTCTATATGCAGGCATCAGTGTCTTGACTTTGGCTAGTCATCAAAGTTTACCCCAAGATTTCTGACTGAACTTGATGGTATAATTTCTGATGAACATAGCTGGATGGTGAAATTATACTGTACAGTTGGAGTGGCTGGGAAGACGAGAAGCTCTGTCTTTGCTAAGTTGAGCTGGAGGTGATGTTCTCTCACCCATGCCAAGATGTCCACCAGGCAGTGTGAGATCTGTGCAGCTACTGCTGGATCATTTGGTTGAAATGAAAAATAAAGCTGTGTGTCATCAGCATAGCAATGGTAGGAGAATCCATGTGCCTGTATGATCGGTCCCAGTGCTGTTGTTTAAATGAAGAAGAGGAGAGGTCCAAGAACTGATCCTTGAGGAACGACCCTGAGGAACCCCCTTCCAGACAACCCTGAAAGACCTACCTGTGAGGTATAGTATTCAAACCAGAGAAGTGGAATTTCTTTGATGTCCAGTGATGAGAGAGTGGGCAAAAGGATCGGATGATTGACGGTGTCAAAAGCAGCAGATACATCCAGCAGAATGAGAACTTTCGCAATCTGCAGAGCTTCAGTGACCAACAGTAATGCAGGCTCAGTTGAATGACCACTTTTGAAACCTGATTGGTTCTTGTCCAGCTAGTTATTCTGTGGAAGGAAAGATTATACCTGGTTGAAAACAACCTGTTTATGTGTTTTCGCTATGAATGGGAGGAGAGAGACAGGTCTGTAACTTTCTACAAGTAAAATGTTTAGTGTAGGTTTTTAATCAGCGGGGTTACCCAAGCCTGCTTATATGTGGTGGGGAAAATGCCTGTGTGGAGAGATGTGTTGATGAAATGTGTGAGTGCTGGTAGAAGTGTAGGAGAAATAGCTTGTAGAAGGTGTGAGGGAATGGGATCTAGGGGGCATGCTGTAGGATGGAGAGGAGAAGTTCAGAAACTGCTGCCTCTGTGAGAGGAGAGGAGACTGCTGGCTGTAGTTGTTGTTGGTCTGAGTTCCTGTGTATGTGGAGTGCTGATGGTTGTAGTTTTGTGTTTGAAGAAATTGGCAAAACGATCAGCTGTTAAAGAGGTGGTGGAGGGGGGCAGAGGAGATCGTTTTGATGTTTGAATTATTTGAAGTTTGCATGTGGTTGTTGATCTTGTGAAAATATGAAGTTCTGGCAGTGTGGACCTTGACAGAAAAAGATGAAAGCAGAGACTGATACATACTCAGGTCAACTGCATCTTTTTATTTCCGCCATTTTCTTTCTGCATCAAAAGTAATGAAGAAATTATCAGAAATGTGCAGAGGTTTCACTAAAATGTTTTCTGTGATACAGTTGCATGTGTAAATGAGGTCGAGTCGGTTGCCTGATTTGTGAGTACCTGTAGTGGTAAGCTGTGTCAGATCAAATGAGGCTAGGCGAGAGTGGAATGTTACAAAAGATTTATATTTCAAATAAATGCTGTTCTTTTGCTAAACATTCTATTCATCAAAGATTCTTAAAAAAGAAAACAAAAATATTAAGTAGAACCACTGATTTCAACACTATAATAAGAAGAAATGTTTCTTGAGCACCATTTCAGCATATTAGAATGATTTCTAAATTGAACATAATATTGTTATAGTTTTTTTACTGTATTATTGATTAAAAAACTGGAGTCTTGGAGAACACGAGAGACTTCTTTCAAATGCATGAAAAAATATATATATATATTTCCGACCCGGAAACATTTGAAAGGAAGTGTACATTGGGAAACCAAACCCAGACATGCAACTCTTCCTACTCATTTCAGTCCACCACACCACACGCCACTGCCTAATGATAATAAAGCATTTTGACATGAAAATTGTAATTTGAAGATCTTATTTGAGGGAGAATCTAATTGCCTAAACTCAAAAGACACTTCTAAGCAGGCAGGATGGAATTCATAGTTTTGCCTCAAGCAGATGTCTTAGACTTTTATGCTTCTAAAGCCTCTTTCACAAGCTTGTTAAAGTTTTGCCTTTTCTGCGAATCTTTTTAGATTTCTGCTGAAAGTGTCACCAAAAGGCTTCTAAAACATTCACAGTGACAGTTCCATTTGTTGAGGAATAGCTGTTTGATGTGAAGCCAATGACAACCACTGAGGAAAAATCCCCGAGAGTTCTCCAGGGTGACGAAAAGAACATCCTGGCTTTTCCAGTGGTGAAAGTACAAACACACAAGCACACACACATACGTGCCTCAGTCTTCCAGTATAGACGTCTTGGCTTGAGATGGATATCCTCCTTTAAGCAGAGGGGCCATCCGCACACTCTCTTCCATTAGCAGCAGGTATTGAGTTCTTTCAGAGTTATGTTGGCAGTAAGGAGGAAGGGGTCTTTGCCGTACTGCAGCAGAGACACCCGTAGTTCTCTCTCAGGGCTAATCTATCCTGTCAGCCTGTGAATTATATTAATTGGCTGCTGGTTGCCAGTCCTCCATATCATGTGCCGCATCTCTTCCTCGGTCTGTCTCTGCCGCTGGCGCTGAGAGCCCTGTATATAATACTGTTAAGGGTGCCCTCACACACAGTTTCAGAATTACGAGTCCACTTGTGATGAAACGAAGCCCATTTTAGTGTGTGTGTGGTGCTGATATATGGGGTGATGTTGAATTGTTGAATTGAACTTTTTGATTTGTAAAACTGTAGCTGAAGCTATGAAGTATTATATCATTATGAAGAGGAAAGCGATTTCATCAAAATTAACATATATGTATGTGTCCACCTGGAGATGAGCAGGCATTTTCAGTTCATGCTCTATAGGAGCTGAGCGGCAGGTTTGTGCAGGGGATTGTGGGATTGTTAAAAGAGCAATGCAAGTGGTGACAGCCATAAAAAGCAGAGAAATGCTCAATTTTATGCAAATTAGAAGTGAAAAATGCTAATCGCTGAGGTGGAGGCAGTGACGTCGGTGGTAGACATTAGTCCTGGTGTTTCTTGGGAATTAAAGGATGGCTCACCCAAAAATGCAATTCTACCATTATGTCATTCCAAACCTGTATGACATTGTTATTTTTGTGGAACACAAAATATATTTTTTTCACCCATACAATGAAAGTCAATGGGTTCCATACAATTAAGTCAATGAACTGGAATTAATTTTCATTCCGGGGACAAAAACACTTCTACAAGAGAGCCCACAGTTGTTCGGTTGCCTGCACAAATCTTGAAGGACTAGCCTACAGTTTATGTTCTTTTATGTAAGATATCATAGCAGAGCAGCTCTTCAAATCACAATGACTCAGACCACACAAACTGTCCTCACTTTTGATTACCTCCTCGGCCTTGAGATTGACACTTAGATAATGTCAATATCGTAGCCGGTAAGAATTGAAGACGTTCTGTGAGACAACAATGTGAAACAAAAGAGCCAAACATTTATTACTCCGCAAAGGCCACACATTTTGTGAACAGCTATGTCTATCATTGAAATAAACAAGTTGTCTTGTTTATTTACTTTCAGGGTGTACCAGGTGCCAGTGGAGGACCAGGCCGAGATGGACCTCCAGGACAGAGAGTAAGCATTTTTCGTAACTCAATTCAAACTAAATTGTTATTTTGTTATGATGTGAATAAATCAGATAAGCTGAGGAAGTTACCATTACAAATGACTTCATGTAATATTCAGGGTTGTTAATCAGTTTTTAAAATTGTTTTATAGAAGGTGCACAAATACAAATGCAAAACACCATCACCACCATCAATACTAAAATTAACACTAAACGCTAACACTAAAAATGCAATAAACATTAATTTCACAACATAAGATGAAACCTAAAACCCTACGTAGTTATGCACATAACTGATAAGAAAAATCTAAGGGGGAAAAAAAACAGTTGTTTCAATAAAAAACCATCAGAGTTGTCACAGAGAATTCTGGGAATGTCAATTTTTCACTTTAAATTATAAGATGACTTGTTCTTTTTTGCTTCCAAAAACTGTTACTCATCAGTAACAAATTAACACGTTTTTACAGTAAGATTTTGAAAATCTTTTACCATTTAAATTATGCTGGGGTTTTTTCAGTGTAACTTTTCATTTTATGTATTAGTTGATAGTCATATTTTTTTTGTAGTTAACATTTTAAAGCATTCAGTCAGTTAAGATAATTGTTTGTGATTTATTATTTTATTTTATTTTATTTTTTAATAAACAGTCATACAGACATTCAGTCACATCTCACTGTTTTTAGCATCTGTTAAAAATGCATATGGAGACCCTTGTGTATTATTCCATTTTTGGCACTCCATCCTGCATGAACGGCTCCTCACTCATTCTGTGCTGCCTCCCTGTTTTGCTTGCCAAGGGAGGTGGGACAAACCCCTGTAGAATTTACAAAAGCCCGAGTGATATTAAGTAAACGCAATTTCAGTCATGCCGTGTAAGAACGATTCCACATGGGCGGCTCATCAAATGAAGCTTATGTGTTCTTCTGTGTCTGAACAGATCTGATTACGCTGAAGGAGGCCCTGACTCACAGATTCAGTTTACAGGACTGCTAGTCAATAACACCTGAACTAATCAGATCTATCCTGCTAGACTGTCATAATAAGTGCTCAACGTGTTTGTTTTTGTTATTGATTTTGTTCCTTGTCTCCAAACCAAATTAAGCAACTTGTGAACAAAGCCTTACTTGACATTTCAGAATCACACACGTGATTCAGAGATCCTTAAAATGATTTTGGTATCAGCTCACATGTAACACATGAAATATAATTGCCTCCTAGTCTAGGGTTTTTTTGGTGCATGTGTTGTCACAGATACAGAGGTGTTTAATATCGTCATTCCTACAAGTGAGGAATCACATATACTGTATGTACATGTAGCCTATACAGATTAAATGCCACTGGAGACTGGGGAAAAAAAGGCACACTACACTTATTCTGTGAACTGTAATGAAAAATATGCACGAGGTGGTTATTCAATTACCATTCCCAACGCTGTGTGGTGTAATTAAATGTTAATGTCTTAATGAGAGAGTGCAAGTTCACCATCTCTGTTTAGTAATGAGCAGCCTGAGTGGAAATGTTTGAATAAATCTGTCAGTTTGCGTCAGAAAAGAAAAACAAGGAGCACAAATGCTGGTGTTCAGACCACACTGCTGCTTGCTGAGCTGATTTAAAGCAGGTTGAGGGATAAATCTGCTGTGGTTTCATACACAGTAACTCACTATGACAGTTTAAAAAAGAAAGCAGATGTTTGGCTTTGAACTTATGATAATCACTAAACATACCATTTGTAAAAGAATATTATTACAGTTCCAAGGTTAACTAATGAGTTGTTTTATCTGTAAGTGGCACACAATGAAGTGCTAAAGAAAGTATTCAATACTATTGTGATTTTCACCTACAAACGGACTTCGTAGAGACACTGGAACAATTGAACAAAGCATGGTGAGCACAAAGAGGCAACATTTCTAGATTGACACCAGGTTCAAAGTGGGGCTGGATTGGACAAAGCAAAGAGGTGTTTATAGCGTGTTTCACCATGACTCCTTCTTGAGGGAGGTTCTTATCCACCTCAAAACACACACAGCGAGAGAGACCTCAAGTGCTTATATGGGATTGCATATGTTGCGTGGACTAGAACTATTCTGAGGCTTTATGCTCTTGAAGTGTGGTACTCCAAATGTATGTTACACTTGAGGCGTTTAAAATGTTACATTGATTTCCCTTCCCTCCACTGGCCTGTTTCCCAAAAGAGCCTGATATTTAGGGCAATGAAGCATGTTCAGTGGAAGAACACAGAGTTGGATCACTGGCTAAAAGGAAGCAGCCAGAACCGTATTATAAAATTTGTGCAGACAGATCTGACAGTAAGTTGTTGTTGAGTCTCTATCCCCTACTGAGGTACTTTAGGTGTATCCCAGCATTCAACAATAAAACAGTAGTGGAAAGGATGTTCAAGAGGAGTTCGTTCTACCACATGGCAGTAGAGTTAGAACACATGACCACCTGTTCTGTTACTTTGCTGTTAGCGTTTGTGGATCTGGTCTTTTGCATTGGAATCGTTGGCTGTTGAACTGTTCCCAGAGATTCCATGCTGCCAGTGTACAGAGGTCAGCCAGAGTTGAACACATGCTGTTCATTTAGTGAGTCACTGATAGATTCTGTGAGTTTCATCAGGCTGATTCAAACTGGTAAATTGTTGGAGTGATTCAGTCATTTGTTTGTGAATCAGACTAGACTCACACAATGCAAACTCACATTAACAACTTGGGTAATTATTTATTTTGCTGAAGAAAAGCTTTACAGGAAGCATTGATGGAGTCAAAATGTGTTATCCTTATTTCAGCTTACTGTTTCTTAGATTCCCTTATGAGAATTGGGACTTCTGCATTTTATGATTTCATACACTGTGCTAAAAGAAGATTATTAAGATATTAATATACCACAGTTTTGTATTTTAAACAAAGCATTGTGATTATCAAAAATTCTTTCGTTTTAGGGCCTACAGGGTAAAGATGGACCCCAGGGACGACAGGGCCCTCCAGGACCAATGGCATGTAACACGATAAAATCACTCTGTCTGTCTCTGTGAGTCTGTCTGAGACTTGGTCATGAACCTTTTGTCCTCTCAATATCTAATTTTAGGGAAGCCCTGGAGCTCCTGGGGCTCCAGGACCAAGTGGATCGCCAGGGCAAATTGGTGATCAGGGGCCACCTGTGAGTATTGCATTACAGCCATGTTGAACAAACTAAACTCAAAATGCTGTAGATTGCTGATCGTGACATCAGCTTACTGATATTTAAGTCTGTGCTCCTCTGTTTAAGCGAGAGGTAGTGTTTGACTCAGTTCTATAAATGTGGTTTTGTGGCGTTCTTGTTTAGTTGAAGGAACATTGAATTCTGTCCTACTGCTGAGCCATTCTCTTTAGTGTCAGACTCTAGCATTATTCTCACTGAAGTACCAGACCACCCAGAACCAGACCAGAATTAAAAAATATTTTGAAGTCATGAAGCAAATTGGTCCTTTGGTTCCCTTCTTAACAGATATAGAATATACTTGATCAATATACTTTATAAGACCAGCATAGTTGGTCACCACCATGTTTTGGTGGTGGTGTGCAGGTGTTCCCATTAGGCTTCTCAGCTAGATAAACCAACAAGCCTACCTTGGCAGGGCTCAACAATAAGGATGGCCCGCTGGTCCAGGGCAAAAGCCAGGGTTTTGGGCTACTTTACAACTTTCACCATTGCTGCAGTTCCAGCAGAAAAAATCCTTACTGTTGAGCTTTGCCTTAGTCAAACATATTTGCCAGAAAGACCATCTTCGTTGGCCAACCAGGTTTTGCTGGTAAACAGAATGATTATAATGGTCCTCCAGCCAGACCAGAGGTGTCCAATCCTGCTCCTGAAGGACCAATATCCTGCTGAGTTTAGCTCAAACCCGCTCCAACACACTTGCCTGGAAGTTTCTAGATTGGCTGGTTCAGGTGTGTTTGAGATAAACTCTGCAGGATAGTGGCCGTCCAGGAGCAGGACTGGACACCCTCGAGCTAGAGTAACACCAAACCTGCACTAACTTGCCTGATCTATTCAGCGGGGAGAATTTTGCTTTGAAGGTCCACATGTGTAGAAGCTAGAAATCCACTTACAGTATTTATCATGAAGAGTCACTTTATTCATGGCTTGAAATCATTTATGAATGCTGGAGCAGACAGCTCCACACGAGATTCTATATATCATACAGACTGTTGTGCTCAAGCTCACTGTAGCTCAGTTTCAGCCTGCAAAGATCTACCTTATATAAGTCCGACTGGTCAGAGAGAGAGCTACAAACTGAGAAACCTCAGTTTGCACAAAGCCTGTAACTGAAATATTTGTTTCTCATTTGTATATTAGAAGCACACAAGGGATTCTGAATTAACGTCAGTCTCTATGAGTTTCCTGCTGAGTGACACCTATATTTAAGTTGTAGCTCTATTACCTTGTATTTGTTCACAACGATTTGTAAAGTAGAACCATATGCTTCAGCGCAGTCGTTGAAAAACATCTGCAGAGCTCGATTGCAGTGTAACCTCTCAACACAGATTTGAAACCTGTACGTCTTTCTTTTTATAAGCCCTGGAAGAGAGATTGTCAGTAAGATGACAAGTTTATGACCAATTGTGGCCCAGTTTATGGAAGAGCAGGGCATTGTTAATTCTACTACAATATAGATATAGAGCCATAACCTCCTGCTCCGATGTGTGAAATTACACGAAGTACTTTAAATAAACTATGATCATATTCTCACATAGTCTGGCACAACAACCACATATCCTTAGGATGAGTCCCTATGCACCACAGAGCTTCCAATGAGTCCGTCTCAGGGTTACATCTCATTTTTACCCAGATGTTATGATATCAGAATTGTTTAGTAGCCATGGTGCTCTGGCCACAAATCCCGGCCTGGTTTCCAACACATTAGGTCAGCGACGCATCCATTTTATGTATTTGGCTCATGCATTTCATCCGTGATCGATTTGGTCCGCTCTCACATTCAAATCCCCCTCTCCAAACAGTCATTAATGTCTTTGTGTTTCTTTTTTGTCTTTTTCTTCTCCAATCTGTGAATTCAGAAACGTTTGCCTTCACTCTCTTTTTCTCTTTTTGCAGGGGCCTCCCGGCACCAAAGGCGAACGAGGAGAGAGAGTGAGTCTCCAATCTGCATCTGAACTGTCATAGAGTTTAGATTGTGGTGGTGGCATGTGGCACTCGAGTGGCACACACAATGGCGGTTTATCGGCGGCAGGATTAAGAGGCTTGCTGACAGGCCTCTTGATAAAAATCGCAGCAGCAGCAGCAGTGCTGAATTATAGCTCCTTTTCTTTTTCACACTCTCTCTCTGAATGCTTAGGGTTTTTAATTCAGTCGCTGCGGGAGCATTAAAACTGGTACAGGTATAGCTAAAGCTGTTTATCAAGCCTCACAGTCAGACTCGGTCCAGAGCTTCCACACAACAATATATTTGTGTTTTTATTCTTCAGTTCTGATTTCTCCACTGCCGTGGTACCGGCCACCACACAAAGGGTGTGTGGAGAGTGTTAAATTGGGTGAATTAAACACCCACGTTGTACAGGCTATTAGCCTCCCTTTAAAGCAGCTAAAGCGTATTTGTGTGTTGTTGGAGATTTTTTGTCACAGCAGCTTGTGGTCTTAATCCATGCTGTATGCTTGCTTTTTAGGTGTTAACACATGTGTTAGTGGGTTGGACAATTCACTAGCACACAGAATGGACACAGAGTGTGGTCAAAATAGATTTATGTACTTATTTATTTATTATTTCCTATAGTATGGCATGTAACAAAGTAGTTGTTATGTTTAAAGTACTATGCTTTGTAAATGTAAAATCCAAAGTTTGAGACTACTGTAGTTTTTCCTCAGAAGCTTTCATTGTTGCAGCGGTTTTTTGTTGTTGTTGTTGTTGTTGTTGTTTTTAGCAAACTAATGAAAAACTGACTCTTATAATTTGTGTAGCAGAAAAAAAATCAGGCAAAATCACAATGGAACTTTCGATTTTCTCCAGTTCTTTGCATGTTGTGTCCAGTTTGCATTAGATGGTCTGTGATCATGCTGAGAGTGATACCGACCATGTTTGTCCACCTGTTTGTTTGTTTTTTATAAGTACAGCAGCTAACGTTATATCCATAGAAATGTATATATAATGACTTATTACTACAAACTATTCATGTTAAGCTAAATCAGAATGCAAATCAATGCTCCAGAACCTGCCATTTCCCCCTTATCACCACAGAGCATTTATATATATATATATATATATTATATCTTATAATATAATTTTATTAACATATTCAATGGAATGTACCAATCCAACCACACTAATCTGAATGACCTATTGAAAGAACACATTCTTTTGGCATTATTTTCAATATCAAAAACACTCTAAATCCAGTATTTCTGAGTCAGAATGCACCACCCTAAAGCTCATCCTCAGGAAACTGTCCAAACTTTGAGAGCAAACAGAATATCTTGCCTTTTTATTGATTGTCTCAGTTTTTGCGGCTCTCTCTTTTTACGTGCCCATCATAGAGGAAACAATACATCATACTGTTCAAGTTCAAGTTTGTAAGATCTGGCGATTCAGATTCATCGTACAGTACAGTTTCTTTGTTGTAGCTCTCCTAGTGCATAACTTTCGCACAGTGTCGATGGGTTAAAATTATTATAATATTTAACTTACAATGACAGAAAACTGTGACACTGTACATCCCTGCCTTAATCCCCTGTTGTTTGTTTCTGAAGGGTGACATGCAGTCTCAGGCTGCTGTCCGTGCCATAGCGCGACAAGTTTGTGAACAGCTAATTCAGAGTGAGTTGAGAATACATATATTTTGCGTACATATACTATTTGAACAAGTATTTGATTTGACGCTCTTTTGCCAAATTCATGACTCACACGAAGTCGTCTAACCCCTGCTGACCCACTAAGTGAATTTCTTTTTTTCTACCTCCCCCTCAGGTCACTTGTCTCGCTACAACTCTATTTTGAACCAGATTCCCAGTCAGTCTGTTTCAGTACGAACAGTACCAGGTCCACCGGGTGAGCCTGGTCGGTCAGGACCTCCGGGGCCACAGGGAGAGCAGGGTCCCTCTGGCAGACCAGGATTCCCTGGAGCCAGTGGGCAAAATGGCCGCCCAGGAGAGAGAGGTAAACATTTTAACATGTGAAATAACCTACTGCATCACTAGATACTGTGTACTGCTGTTTTGAATTTGTAGGCAAAGGAAAAAACTGATAACGTTTTGAAGATTAATTTGTAGAAAATAGTAGCTGAGTTTACAAACCCTTGCAAATAATAGTATATAATAATATAGTCTAGTAAATAGATGCAAATAATAATCTAGTATGAATAGTATGGAGGATGATTAGTTAATGGCCCTCGAGAGAAATTTTGCCCCTGCAGCTTAAGGTTTCGCAGATCTTGTAGCTATAATAATATTGAACATTAGCATGACCTCTCTGACCCCATCCATGATAAATGTTGCTAACATCTTGGCTGACAGCCCTGGCTAACCTCAATACCACTCGCCATCATAAACAATAAGTAAACTACTAAGTCTTTTTTATGGTTAATGTTAGTAAGCCAAGAACAACTACTTCAAAGATGCCACAAAGCACTGCAAATGCTTTAGTCTCTTTAGTATGTAATAGTTGAATTGAGGTTGACAGCCTCTTAAGGAACCACAAGTCCCACAAACTGCACTGAAAAAGTGAAATGACCAGTTTGTCTAAAAGCACTGTCTTTATTTTTGTCTAAAAGAACACTTCCCATAGAAAAATAAATAAAAGAAACAGCTTTGTTTAAATGTTCCCTTTATACCAGTGTTGATGTGCAGAACAGTTTATTGAAAGTTTTTTTAAGAACAATACAGCAAATATGATTATATTAAACATTGAATAACTTTTTTTTTTAATCTTAAGTGAAAATTATACTTTCATTTTATAGCTAATTTAACCTTTGTTTATGGTAAAATAAAGTTGTAAAAACCCCTAAAATTATTATACTGACCTGCATTAAACATTTTGGCTTATGTCTAAAGAAAATGTATTCATTAAGTAATGTATGGCCTTTATAAAAAACAATCCTTTTACTTGGAAAATAAATATTTTCGATAAATATTAAATCAAGGTTTGAACCAAACCATAAATATAATTAGAAAAAACTAATATATTTGGCTTTTTTCAGTGTGACAAAAAAAAAAAAAAATTCTGGAACTTTCTTTCCCCTGAATACGACTTTACACAAATTACATTAGATCTGCATGACCTTCCTGCCAAGAGCAACTCTCAGCCAGAGTCTTTATCATGAGTGAGTGTCCACACTGCTTAGTCTCCTGTCCTCAATTAGATGAGCTCTGACACACAGCCTGAGCTTTCAGCATTAGATATTTCACCATCACTACTGCATCACTCAAACATTCAGATATCAAGCAGGAACATGCAGGGCATGGTCATGATGCAGTCAGTGCAAAACAGAGCTGCTAATGAGGGATAACATAGAGGAGATATTTGTCTGTTTATGTTAACATGGGGCATATAATGAGGAATCTTATTCAGAAGTTCTCTTTTAGATTGTCAGTGTTGTTCAGAGGTGATGAAGATCAGAGTGCCTGTGGGGCAAAAGGCTGCTTACATTCAGTGTTCAGATCCTTAGAGACAGCGCTTTGGACAAATGAACCATGATTCAAGGAAATCTTATTATTCCCATTCATTTCAAGGTGCTTTTTAGTATAGTTACAGCATTTACCAGTAGAGGTTAATTGGATCAATTGGCATGTTGACCACTCACTGACTGTTTTCAATTCCAATGTTGACTTCTTAAAGAAAGAAAGAGACTGTTGATAGATTCTGATAGATTTGTGTGAGAAAACAATTGTGATTTAAGTTGTCATTCACTTAAATAAGTTATTCCCTTCTGCTGTAGCTCCTACTGCTTTCTTACTGAGAGATCAGCCACATCAGACCTGTCAGAATGTGTTATTAACACCATCCAGGTCTTTTATTTCTTCCCTTATGGTCTCATAAAGGTGTGGAATAAGTTAAATCACATGGAAAGAGAAGGACACAGCTTCTTCAGATGGGTTTGTGTGTTCTAACAGATCCCCGTCTCTCTTTGTCCAGGTCTCCCAGGAGAAAGGGGAGAGAAGGGCAGTCCAGGGATAGGGACACAAGGTCCTCGTGGTCCTCCAGGGCCTCCAGGTGAGAGACTGTTCAAATGTTACATTTAAGTCAAAATCAATGACTTCTTGGTCCTCAAGCCAGCAGTAAAAAATTAATTTCAATTCAAATTGGAAAAAGTAGAGCTCAGTGTCGTCTTATTGCACAGACTACAGGAGTTTCTATTATTAAATGGCGTCTGTCAAAGAAAACACAAGCTTGCAAACTTTTAATAACCTCTGCACACATCTTGATCTGCTTTTGGTTCTTTTAAATCCTGTCTAGAATATCAAGCAGATATTGAAACAATATTTGGGTCAGGGAGCAATGTTTTCATATCGATTTTAGCAGTAAAGGCTGGTCAGTAGACTTTGAAAAATGTCAGCGTTGGCTCGCTGTTAATTGTGCTTTGATCAATACTCTTTACAAATGAGATTCATTGAAGCAACATAGCTGTAACAGCCAGTGATGTGCACTGGAAAAGGCTAAAACTTGTATTTTGTGGGTTAAGGAATCCAGGCAGGCTATGAGTGGGGAGTTCAGCAGGGGTTTCACGAGGCAGCTATTAATGGCTAATGTCTTGTCCCACTCAGGGCCTCCTGGAGAAGGTCGGACAGGAAGTCAGGGCCCTCCAGGGAGACCTGGAATTCAAGGCACCTCAGGACGTCCAGGTATCCCTGGTAGCCCTGGTCCTGCAGGACCCCCCGGCTACTGCGACCAGAACTCCTGCCTCAGATACAACGTTGGAGGTAATCCTCTCCTTCTCTTCCTCTCTCTCCCATACTCCCTCTATCTGTCAAGGTTTCTCAATTTCATTCAAACTTTATTCTGTCAGGTACATCCAGGGGGTCTCATTCACTAATGATTGTGTAGAAGTGATCTTGCAGTATGTGTCAAGAAAAGGTTCTCTGGTGAAATTTCCACCAGATTTATGACATGTGCACATATTTGTTCTTATGTTGATGAATGCCGATTATTCTAAATGACGGAGCAGTAATTAGAATAATATATGTCCACAAGCATTGACACACTGATATTAAAACAGTTCTAGCCAAATCAACCCTCCACTCCGCTTCCTGAATTTTAATTGAGGTAGCAAACAGAAAGTAGAATTGCCATTTGAATTAGAATATTAAGTACAGTCTAAATGTATTTAAATTCATCTAACTGTAATTTGTAACTTGAAATTTTAACTAGAAACTTGTCAGAACTAGGAAGAGTGGGTAGGTAGGTAGGTTGGTTAGTTTAGATTAGGGATGTAACGATGCACCCCGAGCCTGTTGAATTTGGGATTTGTTTTAAAATGTCAGTTTTGTCATTTAACATATTTCAATTTCACAAGGAAATGTGCAGCATTTTGTCTGAGAAATTCTAAAATGACACCTTTTCATTTGTCTTATCTCATTTTGTTTAAAAAAATGAATCGTGAGAAAATTGTATTGTGAAATCATTATCGTGAATCGTGTCGCATTGTGAGTTGAGTGAATCGTTACATCTCTACTATAGATAGATGGATTAATGGATGGATGGATAATATAAATAGATGGATTAATGGTTTGCTATGATACAATACGTTATGATACGATAATACGATACTATAACACAAGATAATAAGATATGTTACAATGTGATATGAGACAATACAAATGATGGACGGATGGATGTGATATACAGACAGACAGACAAACATATAGATAGACAGATCGATAGATAGATAGATAGATAGATAGATCGATGAAAACATTCAAGTTCTATGCACAGATAGGTGTGTATGCCCAGTTAGTGAATGAAACCCAATGAAATCTACATGTAGTTGTCAAGGTAACCATGGATACTGAACATCTGAAAGTCAATTATGGAGTTAGTCTAGTAACAGCGTCTCTGACGAGTGCTTATTGAGCTGTGGGTTTAAGACTGCCTCAGGCTTCACTGATAATAATCACCATCCAGCAAACTGATGAGGGAACATACCGCACGCTCTTCCATACTGTTATTCTCCACGGCCTTTTGAAGTGCTTCGCACATTCTCGCTTGAGATTGCATTTCTATAACTGCTAAACAAGCTTGTGGTCTAACTCAGAGATTTTCATCTTATTAAACTAGCCCTTCCCAAACTGTTATTCTACTTATACATTTCTCATGGAGTATACTGTAAATGCTATCAAAGTTTCAGAGTGGGCTGTGTGCTTACACGTTTTCACTATTTCAGTTTTTTGATATGAGAAAGGCTGGACAATAATGGACAGCACTCTTTTAATAATTGATTTATCAGATCATAGCAAAGCTTTCTACTGAACGCCTCATAAATTATGGCAGTATTGTATTGTGAAAAATATAACGCTAATGTTCTCCGGTGTTTCTGCCATGTAAGGCTGTTAAATGACAGTGCAATATTCCACTCAATAGATGAAATACTGCATCAACACTTTTAAGATCTATAAAGGTTATAGCTTTAAGCTTTCAGTCAGCATAAAATCTTGCAACACAGCTTAATAGTATTGCAAATTGCTCTGTAACTTTTTCAGCCCTCATTCTCTGGGATAATACTTCATTTCAAATGAGAAAATGTATGTTTTATGTGTATTGACCAGGCTTTAATGTCTTATTGAGAATCCTTGACTATCCTTCTGAAATGCCACTATGTAAAGATTACAGTCTGGTAGATGAGGTGTTGCATCATGTTGGTTATATGGGGCTCACACTTACTGCAGTGTCTCTCTCCTCTTTTACCGGGGCATCACTGTCTCACACCTGCATGTGAAGGTCCAGAGCAGTATGAGAATGACTACTGAGAACCAGTAGAGAGCCACCTGCTCTTCTCTCTCCCTTCATTTCTTCATCCCACCTCCATCCATGGGCCGATGCCAAAGACTGTTTCTAAGGAAAGTCTTTTCCACACATTCCCAAACTCGATAATCTATGTACTTGGTTCCCCAACCCTCAAAATGTCACCACCATTGAAGCCCCATGCCTTTTTAACCATTCTGAGTATTGCGCAAACCTCAGTTGTAGTCTGTTTCAGGCATTTTCAACCTTTTCTGGCATTAATGTCGAGATTTTAAACCCACACTCTTAAAAATAAAGGTTCCAAAATATTGGTTTTCGTAGCAGTGCCATAGAAGATCAATTTTAGATCCCCCAAAGAACCTTTAGGTAATTAGTTCTTAAAAGAACCTTTTTTTTTCTTAGTGTAAAAAGTTAATTTGAAAAACCTTTTTACACTATAAGGAACCCTTTGTGTAATGGAAACGGTTCCATGGATGTTAAAGGTTCTTCATGGAAACATTGATGCCAATAAAGAACCTTTATTTTTAAGAGTTTACATCTAAATCAAACTATAATAACTGGAGAAAGCCATCCTTACCATTCCTGTTCGTCTTAATGTCAGCTGCTTGGCTGGCGCATGACCCCTGAAAGTGTGTGATTTTGAAATCTGCCATCTTTGCTCATGGGTGCTCAATTCTGCAGCCAGATTTTATTTTTGAGCCATAAATACCATGTGACTAATCACTCTAGAGCAGCACAATTATGCTGACTGGCTGATGGCACCACAAGACTGTGCTTTAAGGGCCCTCCAAAATAAATCAGTCACTAGCTTTTTAAAGGGGTCCTATTATGCTCTTTTACAAAGTCTTGATTTTGTTTTGGGGGTGTACTAGAACATGCTCTCATACTAGGTTGTTCGAAAAACACATTATTTTTTTAGTTTGTCTGCCTTGGGAAAACTTGCGTGTCTCCGACATAGTGGTAATAATAACACTCGTTGCCTTCTCTAGTGCAGCTCAACCAGGTCTCGTCCCATTCGTCGATATTTGTGATATCACAAATCCCGGAAAATATGCGTTGTAGTCCAAACGAGTCGTTCGTTGTAGTTTTTGAAAAGTGATTTCTGTTAAATAAAATATCTCCTTTTGAAGTGGACTTTGAACTTTGTAACTTTGCAGATCTTTTTTATGCTCAAACAGCAACATTACAGACTAACTAAAGTTGAAAAAGTGAAAAAGCATAATAGGACCCCTTTAATGAAATATTAGCATTCATTCCAAATTTACAATGGCCGCCAATGGAGATTCTTTTAGCTAGATGGTGTAGTTTCGACACTTACCAGCAGGGGTTAACTGAGCCATGCTAACCAACTAAACCTCTATCCCTTTGTCTAAACTAAGCTAATCTCAGTAACTCTCTCCCTTTTCTGCCTTTATCTCTTTGCTGTTTCCTTCTCTCCCTAACTCAACGGCTGCTTACTTGGTGGTGGTGACTACAAAAGATGGCAACCGATCTAATTCCCCCATGTTCCCATAGTACAACAGTTACCCTCCAACCCCTACCAAAACTACGATCCTGCCACCAACTACAACAATGATGAGGAGGAAGAGGACCCTTACGGTGGCTACCGTGCCTACCCTCCTCAGTACTACCAACCCAGTTACCCTGACCCCCATGCTGCCAGGTTTGGCTCCGCCCACCCTGGTGACACGGTGGGGATGAGGTCAGCTGGCACACGCCGCTTCTCCCGCAGCACGGCCGAAGAGGGGAGCGTCGATGAGTCGGAAGTGCAAGTGAAGGCCAAATAGCTCGGGTGGCCAGCCCCCGGCAAACCGAGTGTCCACACACAAACACTTTTCATCAGAATATCCTGCAGGATAGGATTGAGGGAAATCCGAAAAGTGCCTGCTATATGCATCCTTATGGGGGGTGGGTTTGTGGAGAAGATTAGAAAATGAAACTGTGCCGATATTAATCCAGTGACTTTTCTGTCTTTTGTGAGGCTGTATGTAGCCAATGAGATGAAAAGCAAGTTCATAGAAGGAACACTGCGCAAAAAAAAAAAAAAAAAAACATTTTCCCAATCAGTACTTTTTGTCTGGTTGTCCAGTAAAAATATCTAAAAAGTATCAATTAATTTACCTGAAGCAAAATTTATAGAATGAATTCAAAATGTATTGAATTAAATGTATTCTGTATTCTTATAAAAGCAATTCAGTATGTATTTTCTAATAATAATAATAGTCATAATGATACATTTTTTAAGAAAACATATAGTAAATGACATTTTTTTTATAAATAGATTTTCCCCCTTTTCCCAAGGGAAATGCATATAATTGCATTTATTTTCCTAATCCCATTTGCATTTTTTTTTTTCATGTTTCAATCATTAACCTCACTAAATTTAATCTAGATTAATGCTTAAAAAAATCTGCCAATTATAAGAAAAATAAACTTAAAATATCTATTCTTCATAAAACAAGTCCTAATGTCTTACATAATATTGTTCCACAAGTAATTTTTAAGAAAGATATTTTTACTGAAAAACAACAAAAATGCTGATTAACAAAATGATTTTTTGCAGTGCAGTGGTTTTGAATAGTGTATTCCACATATTTTGTAAATGATAATGGGGGTTGTCTGTACAGTTTGTGTATTTTTTTAAGTGCAAATTGGTGATCTACTATGCTACAAATTTCACTGATGTTTACAGCATTTTGCAGTGATCTGGAACTGGCTATTAAGTTATTTTATGGAGAGAAAAAAAAAATACCTCCGTTGACGCTTTTGATGTTCTTATCACTAGCAGTTATTTATGAGAAGCTGAATTCTTAATGACACTTAAAAAAAACCATTATTGAACCAAACCTAATCTCCTGATTTTTTCCGCTGGTACTTCATAGTAACACCCCGTGTAACACCACATATTGTGTCTGGATCGTAATTGTATTACCACACATTTATGTGAACGTCCTTTACATATGGTCTTATAAGACGAAGTGTAAAGCAGGGGATGCAGTGAAAGCTCCCAAAGTGTTTTTCTATAAAAGAAGAGCTCAGCATGGCATCCTTCTGTGTCTCTGTGGTCCCGTTTCCAATGTTTTTTTCTCACTGTGAAAGAGACCTCAATGGTTAGAGTTAGGCCTGTGGTCTACCGTCCTTTCAGAACGAATGGAACTGCATGTGAAGCGGGTGCCAGTGGAAAGACTCATCACCAGACCTTTGAATCTACAAAGTAATTTATTTTTACTTTATTATTTGTTTTTGTAACCAATAAAACTGTACTGCTACAATGACTCGAGATGATGTCTCGTCTGGCCTTTGTGGTTTTCTGTT